CCCCAATCACTGTTAAGCAAGGTTGAAATTAGAGGACCTCTTCCTGCTGGAAGAAATGAGTGTATTAAAAAGAGTCCTCGAAAGACAGTTAATGTAACTGAAAATGACAATTCAATGAACGATAAATCAGAAAATGATGCTGAGAAAATTGTTAAGTGTGAAAATCCACCTAAAAATGAAAGAGTAGGTGATGTAAGGGGGTGTGGTGAAGGAATTTTTGTAGTAGGCAGAATTGAGAGCACTCCGACTACAATGATGGTCGACACAGGAGCTAGTGTAACAATTATTAGCTCAGATTTTGCAGACGGTTCAGAGTTAACGGGCAAATTAGATCTGAACCCTTCATTTGTAAATCTAACCTCTGTTAGTGGGGAGAATATACCTGTTCTAGGGGAATGCCTAGTGAAAATATGTGTGGGAGATGTTACTGTGAATCATAATGTTTTAGTGGCTAATATCCAAAACAAATGTATTTTGGGTTTAGATTTCATGAAAGACCACAACTGTGATGTTCTGTTGAAAAAAATGAAACTTAGAATAAAGGGGAAAGACATTTCTTGCTTTACACATGAAGCTTTGAATAAGCAATGTTGTAAGGTATTTTTGACAGAAACTATAGAAATTCCCCCTCTCAGTGAATTTATTGCCTCGGCTAAAGTGGAAAACCCATTATTTAATGACAAGGTTACTTTGTTAAAGCCTGTGGCAAAATTTTTAGATAAACATGGTGTATTAGTTCCCAAGATTTTGGCAAAAGTTGAAACTGATAGAGTACCTGTTCGATACATGAACTTAGGTGATCAGAGTGTCAAAATTTTCAAAGGGACTGTTGTGGCAAATTTAGAAGATACTTCAGGGATCATTGAAGGTACTCCCCAGTCAATAAATGTTTTGACAAAATATGAAATGAAAACAAATAAAAATTTTCCTGTACATTTGAAGTCTGTGTTCGAGAATTCTTGTAAAAATATTGATCTAGAACAACAGCAAAAATTACGAGAACTGTCAAAATGGAATTTCAATAGTAGTTCTCAATCAAATTTTCTGATATGGCTAAACCCTTGCACGAACTGACTGAACTAAGTCATAAACTTGTTTGGGATGAAGACTGTCACAAATCTTTTGACAAGCTAAAGCGTGCCCTAACAAGTTCACCTATTTATCTGACAGGGACTATGGGCAAGGAGGTAAACTACATTGTTAGTTTAACTTAAGATCCTAACGACAACACTAAGAGCTTAAAAATACCTGAAAACTGTTCTGTTACAACCAAATCTTGTGGTAAATCTGCTCTGCCCTTTGATGTCCCTACAAAACAAACTGAAAATGTAATAAACAATGAAACTGTTGGTGAGAATAAACCAACATGGTTTTGAAGTAGGTAGATAATATGAATATTGACATTTGCTGATCTTTCGCATGAAATTTTGTTTTCTTGAATATTCTTGCGAAAATGAGAAGAGATTATTTATGTTGAGTTTTTATACTGTCCATGATCTGTAAATATTTGATCTATAATATCTAATTATAACATGCATTTTCTTCATGCATTCTATGCATCAAGCAGTCATATTATAAATCTTATTGCAATGATTGATTGATATTAATATTATGCATCAGTGAAATATTGTTCGACTTACCTTTACTTACCTTTGATTTTTCTCTTTGTACATGTCATGTTGTTCGTAGTCCCTCAGAGTATGGGAATCCTATAAAATATATGGATCAGCAATGAAACAGATTGAATTATTTTTGACTGTTGTCAATTTGAAATGTGCAGTTGTTGTTTTCGCACAAATGCTGCAAAACAACGCATAAATATATCTGCTTATAGTCAGATCAAATGGAATATATAACGAGTATTCAAATTCTACTTACTGACAGTTGCATTTAGTCCAGCTTTTGCAAGTATTTTGGACGAACTTCAGTGGCGATTCATTTCTCAGCATGAGGACGTCACGCCTTTTAATAAGTCGTACGAATACATGTCACGAAATCTACTTTTGTTTTGAAAATACGACGAAGCGTCGTGCTTATTGAATTTGAGCATTGTACTAGATTGAATGTTATGTGTTTTTACAAAATTGTTTTTGTTTAATACAATATAAAGTTTGTTTATGTAAAAGTGAACTTACAGTTTAACTTTGATATCCCGAAGACTATATTTCCAGATAAACAGATGATCCGGATATTGAGGTTTTTGTTGATGAACATAAATTTAGATTGTTTATTGTTGCATGATTTATATTTATAGACATTCGAGGACGAATGTTAAATAGAGAGGGGCTGTGTTACGAATTTGGCATTCTCCACTATTGTTTTGAAAAAGTAAACAAGATGTTTCTTGTGATATGAGCCGTTAAAATGATGATTAGATGAATGATTGAATGAATGATATGTATTGACATTTATTCTTATTTATCTGTTATTATTGATTAATGTTATTTGGAATTTATTACGATCTGGGTGCAAATTGTTCACCATGTACCGAATTTCCTCCACGTTTTGAGGAATACGGAATGTAAATAAACCATTTACTGGTCTACAAATGCTTTTATATAGTACTAAATGTGCTAACCTTTGATAATTTGTATAAATAATAAATCCATTCACTGATAATTAGTGTAAAACCTTACAATTACACTCTGCTTTTCATACTAAGCGGTAAAAGATGTAAACTACATTCGGAACACCTCTGATGAGTATAATAGTTAAGTGCATCCGAAGTTTTCCAGCTATTTGACGTTATGGCGCCAAAATCTCATGCATTGATGAGTGAATGACGTCATAACGGGTGTAAAGGCTTTATATACGAGCTCCCAGCGTCTAACGGTCAGACGCCTGCGGTCTCACCCACGGAAAGGTCTACCTGACAGACCAACTCCGAACAAGGCAGTCTCCCCATCACAAAGGGTTCTGTTTTAGACAGAGAGACAAATTGACATGATGGGTAATTATTAACCTGAATTTGTTAGCAACGTTTGATTGCGTTATTCATTCATTTTACTCAGACACAAGTGGTGATCTGAACTCATCGTTATTGTTTACTGTTGAGTAGTATTTACTAAGGCACAAGAAGTGACCTGAACTTGATATTTATAACTCCTGACATTATTACTAACAACAAACTAACAAATGCATGGTGCATTGTATTGAGTTTTGTTGAGATGTTTGCATAACTTTTTGTCCCTATACAATTAGTTGTTTGCTACATCCTTTGAATGTTAACAAATGCTAAACGCATTGTATTGAGATATTAGCATAACTTTTTGTCCCTATACAATTAGTTGTTTGCTATAACCTGACATTTTGTATTTATACTCACTAAGTGAAGAAATCACTAGTTCAATCTTTATTCAAGACCTAAAGATACAAGGTCTATTCATGTTTATTAAGGGGTTTGTTTAAGGGTGGTTTTATAAATTAACATTTGTTGGAAAGGGTGGTTGGTTTGTTTTTATTTCAGGTGAGGACCGCAGAGCCAAAGAAGAGTATTTTTGTATGTTTATTGAATAAAATCTAATAAAATATTAAAAACAAATTATATCCTGTTGTCTTTCGTTCAACATTCAGATTAAGGAGCCCCACAATGTTACGCCGCTAAACATATAAAGCCGTAAGTCGTAACAATTGGTGTCAGAAGTGGGATAAAGTCTTCCTTTTATTCTGGTTGATCGAAAGTCTACATCAGGATCTTACAAAATTGACACCTAAGTCTTGTTAAGTCTATTGACAACGACAAGCACATTATAACACATAAAATTTGTGTTGCAAAAACAAAAGTCAAAATGTCAAATAAAAACAGCCAATATGAAGCTTCTGAGGAGAATGGGTGCAGGTCCTGCGATCTGAATGATGACATCACTTGTGATGAGTATCAACGGTCCGGTACCTCTTCTCCTATACAGAAATCAGGCTCTGACAAGGCTGAAAACATAAATGAACTTTTAATAAGAGCTGTAGAAATGATGAACAAAGAAGTCTTAAACATGAGGCAAGACATAGATGAACAATTGTCAAACATGAGACGAGATTCTCATCAATTACAAGAACAAATTGATGAGTTAAAACAAAACGGGACCCCCAAAGATAATGCAATCAGATATCAAGTGCATGGGTGTAGAGAGTCCCTGGGTTTTCATGATCAGTTTCCTATCATTGGGGCTGGGGAAAGTGTCAGTCACATAAATACTTCTGCAAGGGAGATAAATTACAATGAAAATAGAGTTCCTTCCCCTTTCAATTCCAAACCAATTGTATCTATTAAACCACCTACATTTGATGGGTCAGAAGATTTTGGGGATTATCTAGCCCAGTTTGAAATCTTGGTCGATCTACATGGTTGGAATTACAGGGCAAAGTCACTATACCTAGCTAGCAGTTTAGCGGGAGGGGCTCGTGCACTTTTAAGTGAACTTAACGAAGTTCAGCGCAGAGATTATGATTCCTTAGTCAAGATTCTTGATAGGCGTTATGGTTCAGTTGAACGATCTGAAATGTTCAGAGCTAAGTTAAAGACAAAAACAAAGGGTGACAAAGAATCTTTATCTGAACTTGCACAATCTATCAAGAAACTTACTAGGCAAGCATATCCTACTGCCGACTCAAACTTGACAAATGTTCTATCATTAGATCACTTTATAGATGCACTTCCTGATCCGGATATGCGCCTTCGCTTGAGAGAAAGTAGACCCAGAGACATTAATGAGGCTGAGATTTTGGCTATAAGACTTGAAACTCACAAACTGGCTGATGCTCAGAGAGTAAAACTTGTCAATGCCATACATCCAGAAAACGATACCAATCTCCTCGCCTCGATTAAACAAGAAAATAGGGTCTTAAGAGATGATCTCCAATCACTCACAAAAGAGGTTAGATCACTCTTAAAAGATGGTCTTAATTCAAGACCTAACTTCTTCTCGTTCAAGCGAAGTGCATCCTCGGTTCGGGAATGCACAAAATGATCGACGGAACAATCAGTTTCAAGTTCATAGGCAGCCATACAATACAAACAATTTTGAGAGAAGAAATGCTTACCAAAATAGACAATATCAGAGTGGTCGCTTTCAATCCTCAAATCAGGGAAACTTTCCCGTGTCGAATTCAGGGGGCAGAAGTCGACAAAGCGTAGGGGTAGGCCCCAATCACTGTTAAACAAAGTTGAAACAAGAGGACCTCTTCCTGCTGGAAGAAATGAGTGTATTAAAAAGAGTCCTCAAAAGACAGTTAATGTAACTGAGAATGAAAATGAACAATAAACCAAAAAATGATATTGAGAACAATAAATCTGAAAATGATGTTGAGAAAATTGTTATGTGTGAAAATGCACCTAAAAATGAGAGAGTAGGTGATATAAAGGGGTGTGGTGAAGGAATTTTTGTAGTAGGCAAAATTGAGAACACTTCGACTACAATGATGGTCGACACAGGAGCTAGTGTAACAATTATTAGCTCAGATTTTGCAGACAGTTCAGAGTTAAACGGCAAATTAGATCTGAACCCTTCATTTGTAAATTTGACATCTGCTAGTGGGGAGAAAATATCTGTCCTAGGGGAATGCCTAGTGAAAATATGTGTGGGAGATGTTACTGTGAATCATAATGTTTTAGTGGCTAATATCCAAAACAAATGTATTTTGGGTTTAGATTTCATGAAAGACCACAACTGTGATGTTCTGTTGAAAAAAATGAAACTTAGAATAAAGGGGATAGATGTTTTTTGCTTTACACATGAAGCTTTGAATAAGCAATGTTGTAAGGTATTTTTGACGGAAACGATAGAGATTCCCCCTCTCAGTGAATTTATTGCCTCGGCTAAAGTGGAAAACCCATTATTTAATGACAAGGTTACTTTGTTAAAGCCTGTGGCAAAATTTTTAGATAAACATGGTGTATTAGTTCCCAAGATTTTGGCAAAAGTTGAAACTGATAGAGTACCTGTTCGATACATGAACTTAGGTGATCAGAGTGTCAAAATTTTCAAAGGGACTGTTGTGGCAAATTTAGAAGATACTTCAGGGATCATTGAAAGTACTCCCCAATCAATAAATGTTTTGACAAAACATGAAATGAAAACAAATAAAAATTTTCCTGAACATTTGAAGTCTGTGTTCGAGAATTCTTGTAAAAATATTGATCAAGAACAACAGCAAAAATTAAGAGAATTGCTAACGGAATTTCAGAGTAGTTTCTCAATCAAATTTTCTGATATGGCTAAACCCTTGCACAAACTGACTGAACTAAGTCATAAACTATGTTTGGGATGAAGACTGTCACAAATCTTTTGACAAGCTAAAGCGTGCACTAACAAGTTCACCTATTTTATCTGACAGGGACTATGGGCAAGGAGGTAAACTACATTGTTAGTTTAACTTAAGATCCTAACAACAACACTAAGAGCTTAAAAATACCTGAAAACTGTTCTGTTACAACCAAATCTTGTGGTAAATCTGCTCTGCCCTTTGATGTCCCTACAAAACAAACTGAAAATGTAATAAACAATGAAACTGTTGGTGAGAATAAACCAACATGGTTTTGAAGTAGGTAGATAATATGAATATTTGACATTTGCTGATCTTTCGCATGAAATTTTGTTTTCTTGAATATTCTTGCGAAAATGAGAAGAGATTATTTGTGTTGCAGTTTTTATACAAGTTGTAAATATTTGATCTATAATATATTTGCATTTTCTTCATGCATATGCATCAAGCATTATATAAATCTTATTGCAATTTATGATATTAATATTATGCATCAGTGAAATATTGTTCAACTTACCTTTACTTACCTTTGATTTTTCTCTTTGTACATGTCATGTTGTTGAGAGTCCCTCAGAATACATAGAACCTATAAAATATATGGATCAGCAATGAAACAGATTGAATATAGTTTTGTTTGACTGATGTCAATTTGAAATGTGCAGTTGTTGTTTTCGCACAAATGCTGCAAAACAACACATAAAATATATCTGCTTATAGTCATATCAAATGGAATATATAACGAGTATTCAAATTTACTTACTGGACAGTTGCATTTAGTCCATTTTTGCAAGTATATGGATGAAAATTGTGAAAATTCAGTGGCGATTTTTTTTTCAGCATGAGGGACGTCACGCCTTTTAATAAGTCGTACGAATACATGTCACGAAATCTACTTTTGTTTTGAACACACGACGAAGCGTCGTGCTTATTGAATTTGAGCATTGTAATAGATTGAATGTTATGTGTTTTTACAAAATTGATTTTGTTTAATACAATATAAAGTTTGCTTATGATAAAGTGAACTTACAGTTTAACTTAGATATCCCGAAGACAATATTTCGAGATATTACAGATGAGATATTGAGGTTTTTGTTCATTGAACAATAATTTAAATTGTTGCATGATTTATATTTATAGACATTCGAGGACGAATGTTAAATAGAGAAGGGGGCCGTGTTACGAATTTGGCATTCTCCACTATTGTTATGAAAAAGTAAACAAGATGTTTCTTGTGTTATGAGCCGTTAAAATAATGATTAGATGAATGATTGAATGAATGATATGTATTGACATTTATTCTTATTTATCTGTTATTATTGATTAATGTTATTTGGAATTTATTATGATCTGGGTGCAAATTGTTCACCATGTACCGAATTTCCTCCACGTTTTGAGGAATACGGAATGTAAATAAACCATTTACTGGTCTACAAATGCTTTTATATAGTACTAAATGTGCTAACCTTTGATAATTTGTATAAATAATAAATCCATTCACTGATAATTAGTGTAAAACCTTACAATTACACTCTGCTTTTCATACTAAGCGGTAAAAGATGTAAACTACATTCGGAACACCTCTGATGAGTATAATAGTTAAGTGCATCCGAAGTTTTCCAGCTATTTGACGTTATGGCGCCAAAATCTCATGCATTGATCGAGTGAATGACGTCATAACGGGTGTAAAGGCTTTATATACGAGCTCCCAGCGTCTAACGGTCAGACGCCTGCGGTCTCACCCACGGAAAGGTCTACCTGACAGACCAACTCCGAACAAGGCAGTCTCCCCATCACAAAGGGTTCTGTTTTAGACAGAGAGACAAATTGACATGATGGGTAATTATTAACCTGAATTTGTTAGCAACGTTTGATTGCGTTATTCATTCATTTTACTCAGACACAAGTAGTGATCTGAATTCATCGTTATTGTTTACTGTTGAGTAGTATTTACTAAGGCACAAGAAGTGACCTGAACTTGATATTTATAACTCCTGACATTATTACTAACAACAAACTAACAAATGCATGGTGCATTGTATTGAGTTTTGTTGAGATGTTTGCATAACTTTTTGTCCCTATACAATTAGTTGTTTGCTACATCCTTTGAATGTTAACAAATGCTAAACGCATTGTATTGAGATATTAGCATAACTTTTTGTCCCTATACAATTAGTTGTTTGCTATAACCTGACATTTTGTATTTATACTCACTAAGTGAAGAAATCACTAGTTCAATCTTTATTCAAGACCTAAAGATACAAGGTCTATTCATGTTTATTAAGGGGTTTGTTTAAGGGTGGTTTTATAAATTAACATTTGTTGGAAAGGGTGGTTGGTTTGTTTTTATTTCAGGTGAGGACCGCAGAGCCAAAGAAGAGTATTTTTGTATGTTTATTGAATAAAATCTAATAAAATATTAAAAACAAATTATATCCTGTTGTCTTTCGTTCAACATTCAGATTAAGGAGCCCCACAATGTTACGCCGCTAAACATATAAAGCCGTAAGTCGTAACAATTGGTGTCAGAAGTGGGATAAAGTCTTCCTTTTATTCTGGTTGATCGAAAGTCTACATCAGGATCTTACAAAATTGACACCTAAGTCTTGTTAAGTCTATTGACAACGACAAGCACATTATAACACATAAAATTTGTGTTGCAAAAACAAAAGTCAAAATGTCAAATAAAAACAGCCAATATGAAGCTTCTGAGGAGAATGGGTGCAGGTCCTGCGATCTGAATGATGACATCACTTGTGATGAGTATCAACGGTCCGGTACCTCATCTCCTATACAGAAATCAGGCTCTGACAAGGCTGAAAACATAAATGAACTTTTGTTAAGAGCTGTAGAAATGATGAACAAAGAAGTCTTAAACATGAGGCAAGACATAGATGAACAATTGTCAAACATGAGACGAGATTCTCGTCAATTACAAGAACAAGTAGATGAATTAAAACAAAAGGGGACCCCCAAAGATAATGCAATCAGATATCAAGTGCATGGGTGTAGAGAGTCCCTGGGTTTTCATGATCAGTTTCCTGTCATTGGGGCTGGGGAAAGTGTCAGTCACATAAATACTTCTGCAAGGGAGATAAATTACAATGAGAATAGAGTTCCTTCCCCTTTCAATTCCAAACCTATTGTATCTATTAAACCACCTACATTTGATGGGTCAGAAGATTTTGGGGATTATCTAGCCCAATTCGAAATCTTGGTCGATCTACATGGTTGGAATTATAGGGCAAAGTCACTATATCTGGCCAGCAGTTTAGCGGGAGGGGCTCGTGCACTTTTAAGTGAGCTTAACGAAGTTCAGCGCAGAGATTATGATTCCTTAGTCAAGATTCTTGATAGGCGTTATGGTTCATTTGAACGATCTGAAATGTTCAGAGCTAAGTTAAAGACAAGAACCAAGGGTGACAAAGAATCTTTATCTGAACTTGCACAATCTATCAAGAAACTTACTAGGCAAGCGTATCCTACAGCCGATTCAAACTTGACAAATGTTCTATCATTAGATCACTTCATAGATGCACTTCCCGATCCGGATATGCGCCTTCGCTTGAGAGAAAGTAGACCCAGAGACATTAATGAGGCTGAGATATTGGCGATAAGACTTGAAACCCACAAACTGGCTGATGCTCAGAGGGTAAAAATTGTCAATGCCATACATCCAGAAATGGATACCAATCTCCTCACCTCAATCAAGCAAGAAAATAGGGTCTTAAGAGATGATCTCCAATCACTTACAAAAGAGATTAGATCACTCCTAAAAGACGGTCTTAATTCAAGACCTAACTTTTCTCATTCAAGCGAAGAGCATCCCCGGTTCGGGAATGCACAAAATGATCGACAGAACAATCAGTTTCAAGTTCATAGGCAGCCATACAATGCAAACAATTTTGAGAGAAGAAATGCTTACCAAAATAGACAATATCAAAATAGTCGCTTCCAATCCTCAAATCAGGGAAACTTTCCCGTGTCGAATTCAGGGGGCGGAAGTCGACAAAGCGCAGGGGTAGGCCCCAATCACTGTTAAACAAAGTTGAAACAAGAGGACCTCTTCCTGCTGGAAGAAATGAGCATATTAAAAAGAGTCCTCAAAATACAGTTAATGTAACTGAGAATGAAAATATGATGAACAATAAACCAAAAAATGATACTGAGAACAATAAATCAGAAAATGATGTTGAGAAAATTGTTAAATGTGAAAATGCACCTAGAAATGAGAGAGTAGGTGATGTAAAGGGGTGTGGTGAAGGAATTTTTGTAGTAGGCAAAATTGAGAACATTCGAACTACAATGATGGTCGACACAGGAGCTAGTGTAACAATTATTAGCTCCGATTTTGCAGACAGTTCAGAGTTAAAGGGGAAATTAGATTTGAACCCTTCATTTGTAAATCTAACCTCTGTTAGTGGGGAGAAAATAGCTGTCCTAGGGGAATGCCTAGTGAAAATATGTGTGGGAGATGTTACTGTGAATCATAACGTTTTAGTGGCTAATATCCAAAACGAATGTATTTTGGGTTTAGATTTCATGAAAGACCACAACTGTGATGTTCTGTTGAACAAAATGAAACTTAGAATAAAGGGGATAGATGTTTTTTGTTTTACACATACAGCTTTGAATAAGCAATGTTGTAAGGTATTTTTGACGGAAACGATAGAGATTCCCCCTCTCAGTGAATTTATTGCCTCGGCTAAAGTGGAAAACCCATTATTTAATGACAAGGTTACTTTGTTAAAGCCTGTGGCAAAATCTTTAGATAAACATGGTGTATTAGTTCCCAAGATTTTGGCAAAAGTTGAAAACGATAGAGTACCTGTTCGATACATGAACTTATGTGATCAGAGTGTCAAAATTTTCAAAGGGACTGTTGTGGCAAATTTAGAAGATACTTCA